TCCGAGTTATGTCTTGCGGGGGTGACTTTACAGTGTGGTACGAAATTTTCCTTTGAACACCATGCGAGTTCCATGATCCAATATCATTATTATCTCTGTCTTTGCCTAAATACTATCTTTTGTTTCCCAATAATTCAAACATTGAATATTACTTGTATTTCAGTCTGCAACATTGATTGCTTCTCCTCGTTAAGTTGCTTGTTCACCTCCATAGAATTTCTACTTTCCTCATCTTTAATTTCAAGATCAATTTCTTTAATCAATCTTTTACACTCCCTCATCCTGCCAGCAAAGCATCCCAGAAATCATGGATTTCTTCTCTTTCCCAACAACGAGCAAGCCTGATGCGGTGTCGCAGTGATGAGGAAGAATGAAAGTGTTGGGATGCGCTTCGAGAATCGCTAATCGGTAATTCCCGATTCCTTGGAGGAGATCGGAATTCTTCAAGAATCTTTCGAGGATTTTGATTTGCCCTTGTTCGGTTCTATATTTGGAATCGAATCTCTGCGAGTCGAAGAAGTAGGGAATTTGCGTCGCTTGTTTTTCATCTTCTTTTGATTCCTTTTTGGCGTTTGTCGGATCTCCTCCGCCTCCTTCCGCTGCTGCTGCCTATTCATCCTCTTCTCCTTCCTCGCACTCCTAACCCTCGCCGTCATACTCATCGTCCTCCTCGCCGTGAAGCCTAGAACGCCCGAATTCGACCACCAGCAAGTCACCGTCCAGCTCATGGGTATCAATCCCGGCAGTTCAACCGCCGCCACCACCTTCCTCTCCGGCCCTGTTCCGCCGCAAATCTCTGACATCGCAAATCTCCGACATCCCCAACCTCCGTAACCTCCATATCTCCAACAATGTCTTCAACCTCAGTTTTCCGTCGGAGCTCTACCGCCTAAAAAACCTCGAAGTTCTGGACGTGTACAACAACATGATGATCGGAGATTTCTCTTCGCAGGCGTATCTGCTCACCAACCTCCGCCATTTGCACCTCGGCGGGAACTTCTTCACCGACATATCCCCCCGAGTTCGGCTCGTTCCCTCACCTTGAGTACCTCGCTGTCTCTGGCAACAATCTCACCGGCGTTAATCCGTCGCAAATCGGAAACCCAACACAACTCAAGGAGCTCTACATCGGCTACTTCAACACATTCTCCGAACGAATACCCAATGAATTATGCAATTTATCTAACCTAATATGCTCGACGCCGCCAATTGCTGCCTCTCCGACCGAATTCCGGCAGAAATTGGTAATTTGTAGAACCTCAACACGCCTTTCCTCCAAGTGAACGGTATCTCCGGCGGTTTACCCCCGAAGCTAGGAAACCTGAAGAGCCTAAAAGCAATGAATCTGTCGAACAACATCCTCTCCGGCGAAATACCGCCTGATGATGCTAAAAATAGATCACCTTAGATAGTTGAAATATGATGAGCTAGAAGAGCAGAGTGGATCACTGGCTCACGAGCTTGATGACCTTGAGATACCTGCGATCATAGAACACGTGAACTAGGCCGGGGGTTGATCCGGCGGAAACCCCTCCGACTCTCAAGTCAGACGTGCGGATAGTAGAAATCATTCAGAGAATGTGACTCCTCGTATTATTTAGATTAATAGGGCTTACCTTTAGCAAATGAATTATATCGTTACTTATACCTTAGATGAGATCGTTGGGCCCAGACCTTATTTGAAGGTGATTGGGCCTCGGTGATATTGTCTTCAATATTGGGCTCGTGGCCCAGTAGGTAAATAAATTGTAAGTCCATTGGGTTGACCCAATTAGGCATATCATTAAGCCCCCCACTCTCGGGTCGATGTGGGGGCCAGGTCGAAATGGGTGAGAGATCGTGTCGAGAGTAAAATTGTAGTAGTCGCTCGTTGGCGTTTGGCCAGATGGTGTGCGAAAATGCGTTGGAGCGTGTGTCGGAGGGGAGTAAAGGCGCATTGGCGCGTAACGCAACCAAAATATCGCGATGTAAGTTACTTGAGTCGTCGGTGTTGTTATCTCCTCGTGGGAGTTGTTTATTTATTGACGTTGTCAATGGTTTGACGCGTTGCTTGTATGTGTTTACATATAACCTTGTGCGTAATGTACTTGATGAGTGGATCAGGCTCTCAAGATTTTTTTTTTATGGGGATCGTGCCCATTGTTAGACCTCGTGGGTCGTACGCATGTTTGGACCGTGGCCAAGTTTTAATAAAGGACCCGTCGAAAACAAGTAGATAAATTTGAGTAATCAAGCTGGTCAGGCTATATAGATTCTCATAATATCTCTAAGTGTTTCTAAGGTTGTCGAGCGAGTTGGTTCCTTGTGGGAGTTGCCTTGCAACGGATTTGTAGTGTCGAGCGAGTTGGCTGCTCGTGAGAGTTGTTTCGCTGCGGGTTGTTGTACCGAGGGAGTTGGCTCCTCGTGAGAGTTGCCTCGCAACGGGTTGTAGGACCGAGCGAGTTGGCTCCGCGTGGGAGTTGTCTCGCTGCGGGTTCGTAGTACCGAGGGAGTTGGCTCCTCGTGGGAGTTGCCTCGCAACGGGTTGTAGGACCGAGCGAGTTGGCTCCTCGTGGGAGTTGTCTCGCTGCGGGTTCGTAGTACCGAGGGAGTTGGCTCCTCGTGGGAGTTGTCTCGCAAGCCCTCCACTCTCGATTCGATGTGGGAGGCAAGACGAAAAGGATACCGGGTCGTGTCGAGGGTATGCTTGTGTTGTAGTGTTCCGTTATCGTTGGCGGCGTGGTGTGTAGAAATAATTTTTATTTACCCCTTGGAGAGCGCACGCAATTAGGTGAGGCGCGTTGGATAGCGCGTGCAATTTTGTGGAGCGCGTTGAAATTCTCGCGCAATTTGGTGAAGCGCGTCAAAGTCTACGCGCAATTTAGTGGAAAGTACAGAGAGTTGCGGCGCGCGCTCTCCAAGATAGGAGAGGAGCGCGCACATGGGACCGTGCGCTGACATCTAATGGGTGGAAAGAGAGTGATGTGATGGGTGAGCAGCTATCACGTGCTGCTCTCTTTATTTGAAGTTTTTTTTTTTTTTTTCTTTTATTTTTATGATGTGAGGGGTGAGAGGAGGGAGAGAGAGAGAAAATGAGGGGGAAGGGGTAGGGGCTAGGGTAGCAGCCCACATGGGGGTGGTTGGGTGAGAGAAAAGAGAGGGGGGGCGGGGGTATAGGGGAGGCGTGGGGTACTGGGTAGGTGGGAGGAGAGAGAAAGAGAGAAG